CCTTTGCCCTTGCCTCAGGAGCGCGCCCGCGCGCTGGCGGGAGACCTTGACAAGCCCTTCATTACGGTCATGCGCCCCGCGCCAGGCGACAAGGGCAGGCTGGTGCCTGTTGTGCTGCCCACCGGGTCTGTGCGCGCATCCTTGGGGTCTCTCAGCACATTTGAAGACATGTACGCCCTGGTGGCCTTCCTGGCCAACACGTACACTGAGTGAATATAATACCCCACCGCGAGGGGGCAAACAGCGACGACGCGGCCAGGCAGTTGTGGCACAAATTGGCACTCGCGTTGGTGTGGGTAGCGCAGCAAATAAATCAGACGTTGCTTTTATCTTCATATGCTGAAGAGCCACATCCAAGCCTGTGCCACTCGTCTGCCACCTCGTCTGTCCAACTTGCGATGCGATGTTGTTGATTGCTGCTCATCAGTGCAGGTATCACTTATGATCACAGACGTGTCGATTTTGGTTCGTTGGTGGCTGCCTTGTACATAGCGCGCGCGCGCCCAACTCTCTGCCAAGGCCTAGTCAAGCCTGTGGTCCAAAAGTTGATTTCTGAGGCACACTACACAAATAGCCAATCATGACTGCCGAACAGCGTACCGCTGCAATGCACTGCGGAAAGGCGCGGCACGCGTTTCAGGTGCACTGAGGCTGCAAAATCGATTGGTTCGCGCGGCAAAGTTGCCACTGCCTGCCATACACATACAGAGCTTCGGCGAATTGAGTGCCTTGTCTTGAACGAAGTTGTGTAAATACTGCCACTTTGATGCGGAAGGCACCAGCGTGCGACAGCTCGAGCTGATCAGCTGCTTGTGTCATTGTGGGCAGCCGCGCACCGACGACGAGCGCGCATGCTTGATACTTAGGCCCTTGGCTCGTTAAGCGGTAATAATTGAGTTCCTGGTGAACCCAAGACCCAGGATCCGCATCCATTTTAGTCGGATAGGCAGCAGCGTCAGAGCAAGATCGCGAAACCGAGGTACTCGGGCCCCCGGGCCGTGCCGTGTGTTTCGAGCCAACAAGCTTCTTTATATCTGCCTGCTGATCTTCTGATAGCTTCCCCCGTTCCGTCCGTGACGGCACGGAGCTTCTACGTGATCGGCCCAGCACGCCCCCCGCGCATCGCACTCTTCAGGCCCTCGAAGCATGTCGGGACGTGGTGGATATGGCGGGGGCGGTCCAAGAGGCCCTCCAAGGGGCGGCCCAGGCGGCCCAGGCGGCGCGGGCGGCGGTGGCCGTGGGGGTGGGCGCTTTGAGGGCGGCGGCGGCCGCGGCGGCCCAGGCGGTAGGGGTGGCCCTGGTAAGTAATGCAAAAGCCAAAAAAGTTGAAGGGATTTGTTGCACATGACAGGATGCTGCGGGGCTCGCACTTGCGCAAGCTTTGAGCTGTTGCGGCCGACAGCGCAACGGGACGTGGAAACCTCGGAAACCGCACGAGAGCAGCAATGCAAGCGAGACCAACCAGCCCAAGCAACTGGCCCCCATGAACTTTGACATGTTCCTCAGGCGGAGGCGGTGGCGGCAGCATGGGCGGCGAGATGCAGAAGAGCGCTGCCATGGCCCAGGTTTCGGCCCAGCTCAGCCGCCTGACTCTCGCTGCGCGCCCCACGGCCTACAACGCCGCCTCTGAGATCCCGTACCAGCGTGCGGTACGCCCCGGGCTGGGCACCCAGGGGCGGCCGGTGACTGTGCTGGCCAACCACTTTGGGCTCACGCTCAAGGCTACGCAGGCCTTCCACTACGACGTAGCAGGTTGGTGCATGGAGGCGGGGCGCACGCCGTTCTGGAGCGGGCGGGCACCACGGGGTTGCGGGCAGCGGCGCACACTGCGTTCCACCCCTCAACCACATACACGTCTCGGCACTCGCTGCCGTATTAACCCTGTTGCAACGGCTTTCAGCCTTGCTTATCTCAACACCCCGCCCCCTCAGTGTCGGCGCTGGACCCTGAGGGCGGGGGCAAGGGCGGCCCCGGCAGGAGGCCGCAGCGCAAGCAAGAGGACCGTGAGCGCACCGTCTCACAGGCTACCTGGGATGCTTGAATGCTACAGTACGGGCTGGTCCTCCCCTGGCAGCCGCGCGCCGTGTGTCTCTGTTATACACGCACAGCATATTGCCCCGCCCATCCAACAGCCATGAGCCATCTCACAACAGCAAACCCGCCCTGCCCCCTGCAGCTGCGCAAGCCAACCGCCCTCTGCCGCGGCCCCTGACGCGCCGCGTGCTGATGAAGCTGGCAGAGAACGAGAAGTGGGAGAAGGTGGGTGGGCAGCGGCAGGGGTGTCGGTCGTTCCTGTGGCTGGGGTTATGTGCCAAGGGTGTGCTGGCCGCCGCGCCGCACCCTGCACGCGCTTGCACTTTGCCGACCCTTCAGATAAACGCAAGCAGTTCATTATTCCCGTTAAGTATCTCATGAACAACTGTCTGTTAACAGGGCTGGTGCTCCGATTGGGCCAAGAGCATGTATGCGCCCTGGTGAGCCCGGGTGTGACAGCTCGAACTGGGTCGAGTGCTCCTCTTCACACGGTACCCCTGTAATTGCGCCCCTGATGTGCATGTGGCTGCGGCCCACGGAAACGGGTGCTGCCTTGGAGTTTCAATGCCGCAAACGGATGATCGCCCGTCTATCGACGAGGCCTTCGTGTCACTTGCCGGGATTGATCTCAGTCGGCAAGCTCCTTCGATTTGCTTAGAAACGCACATGGTTGACACTTGGGTGGGTGCTACATCCTTGTGTCTATCTGATGGTGGCATCTGGTGCTTGCTTTTGAGCGGCAACTGCTTGCGCGGCGAGGCGCCTTGCAGTTTGTGTTGGTGCTGAGTGAGTGGTGGTTGGGGCCCAAGCAAACCTTGCCTGACGCAGAGTGACACACCACACACGGTCCTGCCATGCACAGGGCCATGTTCGGCGACAGCCCCGCCGCACCGCCGCACGAGACGTCTGGTGAGTTCCAGCAACCGATGCGGGTGACCTGAACGGGATGCATGCTGCAGCTTCGTCGCCTTGCTGCAGCCACCTGGTTGGGCACAGCCATCATCACTTCTGCTCCCTCCCCCCCAACACACTCGCCCCAGTGCGCGTGGTGGTGGACCTGCCCGATGGTGAGGGCGTCTCACACCCTAGTTTGGACGCACTGCGGATAGCGCTCTGGGCACACGCCAGGGATGGGGGGCTGACCGTGTTCAGGGATTGGAAGAATTGTGCTGCAGAGTGTTTGCTCAGACCTCGTGCTCACCCACCTTGGCTGTGCCTGTACTTCTTTCCCCAAGGTGTGTCCATGGACAAGACCTTCAAGGTGGTCATCAAGTACGCAGCCACGTGAGCAAGGGGCAGGGCGGCACAAGGTCACTCTGCAGTCTTGCTGTTTGGTGGCTTCCCATGTACAAACCCCCGCGGGCCACCTGCTGTCTGCGTGCAAGCGTGCACCCCCTTCCCCTGCCTCCAGGTACGACCTGGGTGCCCTGGAGCGCCATGTCAGGGGGGAGGGCACAGGGGGCCTGGAGGCCGAGGAGGAGGCCGCGGGCGGGCTGCGTGCTGCGCTGCAGGTGGGGGGGGGGGGCGGACAGGGCACCAGGCTCCCGTGGGGCAAGAGAACGGGCTGTACGCGCCCCGCTCCCGCCCACCAAGGTGCCGAGCAGTGCTGAACCAAGGTGATCATGCACAATGCACCTGTGCTGCCCCTGCCATCACTGCTAGATGTGCTTGCGGCTCCTGTTTCCGCATGCCGCGAACAGCCCCATGACGACTGGCCTTACTCAAGGAGGCGCCTGCCCACCTGCGCAGGTGCTGGACGTGGTGTTGCGCAGCGGCATCAGCGGTGAGCGGACCAAAACAATATGGTTGGGTCATTCTTCAGTTTATAATGTCTGTGTCGATTTTTGCTGCGATCGGGTCCCAACGTTCGTCCAGAGACGACGGCAGCGCCTGGGAGTCGTCGTCTCTCACCCCTTGATGCATTTGCACCTAGCCTGGTTCACACCTCAGTCCCCCACTTGCCCGCCCACCATCACAGCACGCGAGAATGTTGTGACGGTGGGATCCTCCGTGCTGTTCAACGCCCCCGGGAGCGAGCTCTACAGCAACCTCGGACGCGGGGCTGAGGCCTGGGCAGGGTACAAGCAGGCCGTCAAGGTGACTCAGCTGTTGTGGAAGGCGTTGCTGGCACAATCAAGCGCGACAAGCGCGCCGCTTTGCTGGGTCTATCTAGTGGATGCAGCTGTACCATGTTGTGAATGCCCTGCGCCTTTGTCATGATAAACCTGCATTCAAGTGCTGATATGTGTATTCGCATCAAACCTCCGTGCGCGCACCCCCAATCCCCTCACCCCAGGTGACCCAGAACGGGCTGTCGCTGGTGCTGGACCTGGCGGCGGGGGCCTTTGTCAAGGCCGGGCCCCTCATCGACATCATGGCAGACCTGCTGGGTGCGGGGGCCCTCAGTCATGGGGGGCAA